CCAAACCTCTCTCACTGCTGAAAATTGCATCCACAATTCCCTCCCTCTAAATTGTAATTGTCTGCTCCATCTTTCTCTATCCACCAAGATTACCTCCTTCCATTCCTGCACCTCCTCTAATTTTCTCCTCGCTCTCTTTCCCATTTCCCTTATTCCTCCTACTGTTTGTATTTTCTTCCCATCTCTTGTTTCTTACCCTCTTCTCTTCATCCATCATCCCCCTTCCCTGAATCTCACAACCATGATTGTCCCGAGCTAAAGCGAGAAAACAGATAAGTGCTTTTCTCCAAAAACCCCAAGGGGCCAGAATGACACTTGGGTGGACTGAGCATCTTTTCAGCAGCCGAATGGCTTCGACACGCTGCATAATTATCAAGATGAGTTCTGAGATATGTGCTCGTCCTCTCAGCCAGAATGCAGATCTCAACCTCTGCTCTGGGTGATCACTAATAATCTGCCTCCAGTATTATCTCATTGGTTTGTAGATTCATTCTAGTAATTGTCAGTGAACTTACAGACTGACTCAAGCCACTTGCTTTAATGCCTGCCTTTGACTTTTATTTAGTTAGCCTGCTACTTCCAATTTATTGCTGTTCAATTTAGACCTTATTTGCATAGCTTTATAACTATTAACTATCACATTACTTTTGTAATTACTGACCTAAAGGACCATCCGTACTCTCATAAGCTCTGTCCCCATTAAGGTTAGATTTGTTATATTCCACATTCCAGGCAAGTCAAAGTTTAACCAGGAAGTCATTCTGTAAAGTTTAACTGATGTTTATAACAGACAGTATAAACGCTAATTTTCAGTTTTACCCTTTCTTTCAAGGTAAGTTTCAGCTCCTGTGAAGGACTGCGGAAGTTCTTTGTGATCACCTGGCAGCTTGTGTTTCTTGCTTCCTCCTTCTATATAAACACGGGGGGGAAAAAAAACAAGGAAAAAAGAAACCATTGACGGGAAAAAGTCCAGAGCTTTAATTATAAAAATATCCTGGATTGCTGAGAATTAAAACTTTTTTTTTAAAAGACCGTTTAAAAAGAAATAAAGATTTTAAAATACTGGCAGCTGCCAGTGCTACTCCCCTCAGCTTCCTAATAGATGGACATATGGCATCAATTTGAAAATTCTAGGGGACATCTTTCCTGATGTATTGTGTTCACAAGATTTTAAGAAAACTTGACCTCTGACCTTGAGGTTGAGGTTAGCGAGATTCGAAGACCTATGGTATTAATTTTAAAATCGTACATCGCCTCCTTCTTGAGTTCTGGGATTCACAAGCTTGCCTGCCTGCCCACCGGAGGTGTGGTGACAATACCCCATCAGCCTTTTACAGCTTAGGGGGTAAACAAAAATAAATAAATCAACAATATGTGCGATGTCTCTGATCAACAACTAAACTTTTTTGCCTGCATTCACAACAGCTTCTTCTTTTTTTTTAACTCACAGCACTGATAAGCGGGGCAATGGAAGGGAGACTGACAGGCACCCACCCACAGACAGAGGGAGACTCCCAAGAGGCCATCAATAGGATGAACTGTCTGTGTGTGTGTCTGTGTGTGTGTTGTGGTTGGGTTACTGTGGTTGTTAACAGGGGCCCCTAATCCTGGGCTGGGTTCTAATCCTGCCACTGGACTGTGACCCTGATGGCGCGTGTCTATAAGACCCCCCCTCGACACACAGACGCAGACACACTCTTTAGCCTGTTGCCACTCAGGGACACGCAGCAGCTGAGACAGCAGAGTATCCCATTAAAGTGAATAAACACACCCAAACACACCTCAGATCCAAACAGAGGGTATGCACAAACATCTAGTGCACAAGCTCAAACTGTCAAACTGACATAATCCCGTAGAGACGGACGTGTGTTAGCAACACACATGAAAATGCAGACAACACAAGAAGGATGATGGTGCAACATACGCACACAGACACGCACACACCGGCAGCTGACATCTCCACAGCAGCCTTACAATAACAAACAGTTGAGCTACTAGAAATACCGCAGCGAGAGATGAAACGGGAGGTCTGAAAACTGAAACCGACGCAAAAAGCATCCCGCAGATTCCAGCAACAAAGAGAAGCTACGGAAAAACGACAAATATTTTTATTCGAGCCAAATGGCCGCGATCAGCCAATCAAGTCCTTGATTAGGCTGCTGTAATTTGTACAACAAAACTGTGATTACATCCACTGCTTAGCGCCAATTACAGTTAATGGTGATTTCTTTGTGATCAAAGTCGTGACAATCAGAGGGAAAACTTTCTGCTGTGTAGAGAGAAAAGAAGAAGAAAAAAAAAAGACTGAGACTGTAAAAAGGTGGTAATTATCAGGCAATGCAAATGAGAGCTTATGGGATAAAACAAAATGAGTGTTTCACCAGTTCAACAGCAACAAAGCTCTTCAGACACAGCAGAGGAAAATTACAGGATTGTAGTCGCAGCTGAGAAAGAATAACTCATACCTCTGGCCAACAGGATATGCAGACATATAACCAAGGAAATGTCATATTCAGAATAATTCACAAATAAATAAATTATGACATTTCATTTTTCACATCTTAACGTGAATCATTGAACAACAACAACTCAAACTCAACTATATGGTAGTAGTTCTGGCATTGTGGGCAAATGCTAAATCCTGATGTTTTTT